GAACCCCTAAAGTAGAGTAATTGAAGTTACAGAAGCATAGCGATGAGCCTTTGCAAAAAGGAAGATAATAAAATATTTGAGTTCTGTAAGGTCCTGTTATACACTTCTTTTTTTTAACTATAACTTTTTTTTTTTTAGCTATAATTTTACATCCAGTAGCTGTTGGGAAATCTAAGGCAGGATTGACTTTTTTCAGCCAGTCATTCAGTAAAAAGGAACTGTGGGAGATAGGGCATAAAAGCTTCAAAAGAGATGATCTCTGTCCATCCCGTAGAGAAAGTGTTTTTAAAAAGATTAAAATAAGTACTATTACTTTAGTTAAATACGAATGAAGCTTAAAGTTCCTTTAAGTGTTACGTGCAAGGCACCGTGTAAGTCTGCTGACTGAAGTACCCTGATGTACAAACATGCTTTCATAATTATGTAAGCATAGAAATATAGTAATCTGTTCTGCAGAGCTATGATGGCTAAAAAGCAGACTCTTCCTTTACAGCGTAGTTACGCAATTTGTTGCTTTTGCAACGCTATTAAGACATCCATTTCTCTGTTTCCTGTTGAAGATCGTAACTCTCCTTCCTACCAGCTGTTCAGAGGAAGGACAAAGTTAGTTGTCAGCCCCAGCTAGTAAAGTGATGTATTCTGTTCTAGTGGTATCTTAGATGCACTTCCTTTTTCTGGGAAACAGTGTAAATTCTCCTCTTTATGAAAGCTCATTGATCATACAGATTATGTAAATCAGCAGAGCTCAGTTGCTTGCAAAACCAAAATCTTTTCATAATTTCAGCGCAAGCCATTTTTCTTGGCATTAAGGGTGCATATTCAGTTCGAACGGTAGCTTGTTAAGGAACAGAAATAATACTGGCATACTGTTCAGAATCAGTAACACCTATAATGAACCAGATTGGTGCAATTAAATGTAGGCTTTTACAGTTTTGAGCAGGACAGAACTTCTGGTAGTTTACTGCATGAGCAGTTAAGAGTTTTGCAACACAGAGTCTTTGTTTTCTGTTTGAAGATTTAAATATTTTTAATTTAAAAAAAAGGCGGGGGGGGGAGAGCCTTTTTTCATCACAGAAGATTTGACTGTCCCTCAGTTATTCCTTCATCAGTTTGCAACGATTAGTCCTGCGATTTAAAGACATTTTTGGTAGCTGAGCAGGAATTGAAATGAGGGGTTGAAGAGCAAAGATGGGAATTTCTGAATGAAAGAATTTCACAGCCTTCCAGATAAGTGGGAGGTGGTGTAAAGACCAAGGATTTGTGCCAGACGTCTAGTCAACGTGACGAGCTGCTTCAGCGGGTGCCAGACTGAGGGTGCTTTGACCAGATGCTAACGTGATCACAGAGAGGGGTCTCCTTTCCGATTGCAGAAGATGGGAGGTAGCCGTGACAGTGCATCTTCTCCCAGTGCTGTTGCCCAGATTAATTTGTGATTTTTGTTTTGCAAAATGAATTTTAACATTCTACTGTTGTTCCCTCTAGAAAGACAACAAAGTTGCTGCATAGTCTACAGGAAAGCTGAAACCGGGTGAACGTCTCGATCTTCTCGATCCAGAGAATTAGTTTCAGTCTCTGCAAAGAATGAAGTTAGTTTGCTGTATACTTGTCACCAGCACTGGGATTTTACTATTTAATTTCAAAGGGGTGTAATGCAGTTACTTTTGAAAAATGGCCATCTTTGAAAACAGTGAGCATTAAATATATTTGAGACAGAAGGATAAGTAATTTCTTATGTATAGTTAATTATAAAGCAGTACGTCGATGGAGTTTAAGTATTTTTTCATCACTGAAAGGATTTTTCTTATTACTAAACTGTATTTGATAATTGCTTCAAGTTGTAAGGACAACTGTATGCAGAAGGCCGTCGATACTGTGAGTGTTTTGATCCACTGAAGGTTGTTTTTTGGAAATCCTGTAATATCCCTTTTGAGATAGTTGTACTTTTATCAACTAGGGTGCTGGACAGTAGAAAACTCGCTTTGTCAGTCAAATATGTACACACAGTAAATACTGTTTCTTAGGCAAAGGAAACTTTTTATATAGTTGTAAAATTCCATTATATCCCATTGCCAAAGAAACATTGCAAACTTTGTATAGCTGTATAAAAAGCGACTAATTTTTTAACGAATAAACATTTTTAAGTCGGCACACATACTGTGTTACTGCAAAAGTTGATATGCTGAAGAACACTGAATTAGTTGGGTTTTTTCTTTAGCAGCTTTTCAGGCTTAAATGTTTGATTTTTGTATTTGGACTATAATGAAGATTTGAAAATGTTCTTCCATGACACGAAACTGGATACACTCTTCACTTCACTTCTCTTGCAAGAATTTGATTTTGTAGTTTCTGGCATATCACAGGATTTGACCAAATTAAGGAGATATTTTCAAATAAGGAGAAAAGAAATTTTCGTATGTCAAAATCTGCAATTAATTTTACTTAGTGATAAATACTAACTTTTTTTTAATAATGACCAGGCACAGGAGTTAGTGATTCTCCTGGAATGCCTGGGGCAAAAGTATGTCTCCATTTGTCAATCCTTGAAATGTTAACTTTGTTGTAATACCTGTAGGCATAAGCAATTTAAAGAATTCTTAGTGTTTGAAGTTGTTTGCGTTTTGATAGACCGTAGCTTGGAGGCGGTGAGGCTCTGGTTCCAAGACCGTGAATTCACAAATGACATAGTATGGACTTTTTGCCAATTCTGAATGACTAGTTACAACTTTTTGATATGCTGAAATAGAAAACTGGTCATTTGTGTCTGTATATGTATATGAAGGCCGCAGGAATAAAGGGATCCAAAGATTAAAACATTTTGATCTAATTTGCTGATTTTTTTTTTTTTTTTACTTCAGCTTCAAAATGCTCAGTGGTGATAAAGATGTGGAAAACTGCACTGTTGGAAAATTGGAGTATTTAAAAGTGGTTGATAGAATCTTAATTTTATAACTTTTGTATAGCACTACAAGGAATTATTTTGTAATTGGTTTCCTTATTAAGGTCAAGTATTTGGCAACCGTAGAAGTTAGATAATATTGTTTAGTAATGTTTTTTGCATGTTAACAACAATGCCTTTTGGGATCCACGAATCATGATTCTGAGCAACCGTTGAGGTCTTTGACCACAGAGGCAAGTGCTGTACTGTTGCAATAACCATGTATACTGTATGAGGTGTCCCAGGCTTATTTAAACACGATGAGTTGTAAATACCGATGATCCGTGCTGCGAGGGTATGAATTCCGGTCTCTCCCCGGGCCGGTGGGTGATGAGGTGGGGTGCTCAGTGCCCAGGAAGCAGCGGCGTGGCGTACCTTCCGTGTACCTTGCTCCACGAGAGTGAGCGTTTCTCTTTTTTTTTATTTTAAACCAGAATAATAAACCGTTCAATAAAAACCAGCCGCCTGGAGCTCGTTTCTCTGCCGGAAGGAGGGTGAGTGGTCTCTCTCAGCTGGGACCCGCCCGAAGAAGAGGCCGGCTGGGCCGAGCGCGGCGTCCGCCGCGTTCCCCGGGTGCCCGTGGGCTGGGGCGGGGAGGGGGCGGT